CACACACACACATGTATAACTCATTGGGATTCTGAACAGTTTCCCATAATTCACTTGGATGCATTGGTGAAAAAAGGCATCCACAGGATGAAGAAGCTTGTCTTGGAACAACATAATCTCTCACATTTATTGCCATCAATCATGTTACTCCTGGGGTCAAAATGCTAAATATCGCACCTGAATCACCTGATCCCAGTTGAGGAGGTGTCCAGACATTGCTTGGTGTTTTGGAAGAAGATTCCCCAGAACCACTCTCAGAATCCATGACCTCCTCTGAATCAACTTCCTTGTCTAAAGATGATCGTTCTCGTTTCAAGTTTTGTATTGGCCAATGCTTCTTTAGTAGGCTTGACAATGTAGGCAGAGCCTTCTCAATAGATCCAAATCCTTGCATGTTTACAGGAATGTCTGTACCAGTCAACTGACTGTCACTCTTCAGGGAGCGTCTAGGATTATTGACATCTGGTGCATGAGTCTTTTCAGTATTCTCTCTTCCAAATGCATTTGGCTCACCTACATATTTAGCAGGTCTTGTTGTTAGTAGTGAACGTTTTGATATGAAACAAATGTCCAGTTGTCAAATCTAAAATACAATCATCATTTCTGATCATCAACTGATCTAAGTGCCCTATAGTAGTCCTTGCTCACCTATGTGACTGTGTATGTATCTCCAATCATTCTAGAGCAAGTTTAAAACTCTTCAAAGGAAACTAATCATGTGGTTGCTCATGAGTTTGACATAATTTATCACCAACTTACATTATAGAAACCAGAAGTGCACTACCACTATTGGAGCTATCTGACTGTGTTTCAACAGCATGAAGTAGGAACATTGAGATGCAAGGCTGTGCTCTAGCAGTGCCCGGTGGCCCCTGATGCCTTACTTTTGCTCTTGGGAACTCGGAAATTTTATTTTGTTCATACAAAGCATATGCTGGGCACCCTGGATTTCACAGTTTCAGAGCACTGCGCTCCATTCAATTTTCCTTAGAGTACAGCCTTGAGATGTGTATACTCAGCCTCTGCATTCTGACAAAAATTGTTCAACAAAGGTACATATAACCCCCTTAAACTCCATTACCTCATCAGGTTTCCCTGGAATTTCCTGTTTTCTATTCAGACATAGCTGAAGTGAAGAATAGTGTGAGGAACAGTGTTTATTTAATCACTTTCACCAGAGTGTGGTGAGGGTCGCACAACAGAGCGAGGCTCCAAATTAAGTGCGCCCTATATCCCACCCCAGGGGAGGACATCCATCACACAGTAATCTCGTGTGTGGGAAATTAACGTCTCCTACCCCAACCCTGCAGGAGACGGGACCTCCATTTATTCATCCCTATCCGAGAAGACTAGAATATCTAACCATTTCTTGATGTTATAGAAAGGTAGCAAATTCTTCTCAATTATTTTAAGACCCTGAGTGTTGGTCCGGCCGGGGCTCGAACCCTCGACCTCCCGCACAACAGTCCAGCGCTCTATCCATTGAGCTAACCGGGAGGCGGTTAGCTCAATGGATATCACTTTTTTGATATCACTTCCAAAAGAGTGAGGAAAAAGTGACNCATGACACAAAGAGCCTGCCCCTTCCTTCACCGGCCCTGAAAAAACCTGGCTATGCCCTTAATGTTCTGCCTGATGCTGTGACACAGGGAGCCTGCGATGCTGTGACACAGGGAGCCTGCTCCTTCACACACTTCAAAAATACCTAGCTATGCCCACAATGTTCCCCTTATTATAAGAATGAAGTCATGTCATACCTGTTTTTCCTGTTCTCAGTTGAGGGCCTACAACATTGTTTGGCTCTTCAGACTCAAACATGTCTCGATAAGATTCTCCAGAGCCAGTTTCACTATCCATGTTTGCCTCTTCTAGATCAATGTCCTCAACTAAAAATGGTCGTTCCTGTTTTGGATTTGGTTTTCCAGACTTTTTATGGACTAGGCTTGATTTATGTGGTAGAGGTTTCTTCATAGATCCAAACAATTGTTTGCCAACAGGAATATTCATACCAGTCAATGGAATGTGGCTCTTCCCAGACTTTTTGTTGGATGGACTTGTTTTAAAGAGAGGTGCTAATTTTTTGAAAAGACCTTTTAGATTCAAATGAGAAAGTTCCCCAGAACCACTTTTCCTATCCATCTTTGTCTTCTCTGATTTTTTTGAGGGGTTTTGTTTTTCATTTTTTGATTTTTTTGGTTGTTGGCTTGATTTGGTTGTTGGCTTGATATTTGAACCAGTATGTTGAATGTCGCTTGTTTTAAGGAGGGGTGCCAACTTTTTGTTAAGGTGTTTTAGATTCAAGCGCCCATGCTTAAATTCCTTTTTTAATTCTTTCAGTCCATCTGCTTTATCTCCATTGGACTGTGTCTGTTCTTGGCTGATGGGTGGCCTCTTTGGGGGTGCTTCCCCAATATTTTCTGAACTGTCATCATTGAAGTCATCTGCAATTCCCTGGTATCCATTGTTGATAGATACCAAAGGTAATGCAATGGGAACATTTGCCTCCTCTGAAAATGTAGATGGTAAAGATTTTCCTAGAAATCAGAAAAGAAATAGAACTAATCAGTCATTTGCAACATTCAGTACAATGCATTTAGGTTATGTTTGCTTGCCTTGTAATCTCAAGATAGCTGGTAATGAGAATTGAAGTAATAATCAACTATAAAATACAAAATAATTGTGAGGAATCACCACCAAAAAATATACATAAGTTAATGAAATTAATTCTGAGAATTTTATTTTTTTCTAAGTCCCTCCCTCACTGAAAAGTTTCTCAACGACACAGTGATGAATTTGTAATATCCAGACAAAATATTCTAAAAAAAAACTCATCAATTTATACGATGAGTACACTTCGGAAGTTCAAAAAACGGTGGGTGTTAAAATAAACGAATACTTTTGGAAATTTGCTACGAGACTCGTGCATTAATCGGAAGAAACCATCGGTATTTTCCAGCTTATTGGCTTTTCTTTCTCTTCATGTGCGTCCAGAACAAGCAAGTTCTTACCAAGGAGTACATATACTGGACTGTGGGAAAGACACGTCTGTAACAGTCGTCAACGGCCAAGCGTACGACATTATTTTGCTTTTTGAAAAACACTGAGAAACACATCTACAACGTAAAGACAGGCCGCCATGTTGTCCCGTATTCCGCAAAAGTCTGGGTCGAGTGCGCGGGACTGAAATTTACTGCTTTTCGTGGGCTGGAATTGAAATGCCTGGGTCCAGTTGTTCGAAGGCCGATTAGCACTGACCCAGGGTTAAATTTTGACTCAGGTTTCCTTATTTCTCTATTCAAGAACCTTTCTGAGATAATTTTCCCTGTTCTTTTCAGAGCATCCAATCATCAAATTGTAGACACAAAATAATTAAACTGAACTTTCTCTTAAAGCTTTCAGATCTGAAATCAAATTTCACGCTAATCCTGGGTTATCCAGCTTTGACCAACCCGACCATGGAGGGGAAACTCCTAACCTCTCTGCTCTTCATTTCCATTTTTTTTTTTTTAACTGCACTTATTCTTCTGCAACAGAAATAAATTTTACAGGTGTAATGAAGATTCCCCGCATATGAAAAATGCACGCGTGTTTTAGTTACATCAGTTTGTGTGATTCGTCAATAACTGAGAAGCCCAATAGCTCAAAGTTGGCATTAGAAAGCTAAAATCACACTTGCAGCTAGTATTCAGAAACTAAAAGACTTTCACTTTCCCAAAGTTCCCCTTACAAGCAGGGAGTTCTTTTGTATCTCTCGCATTTAATTTCGTCTTTTCCGTTTAGTGTTCAAAAGCGCGTCAAACGTTAAATCATCCCAGAAATACCTCACTTACCTTGAGCAAGGAAGGCAAATGCAAAGATAAGTAAAACAATCCGATGTACTCTCATTTTCTCTCGTGAATCATCGCTACATTTTTCTCGTTGCAACTTACCCACAATCGAACGGTTGAGTGATTTACGTCACAATGTGAAAGTAATGAAATAGACTGCTATTAAACAATTATAAACGCGTCATTCATTTTAACTCTTGCTTTGCTCTGCTAATCAAAATCCAAGTCCACGACTTTTAAATTCAATGCTGTACGTAAACTTTACTCTGAAAGCTAGCTTTCCAGATGATAAAACTTTATCTAGTTCCCAGGGCCTCTCAGCATGTTTTCTGATTCTTTAGCGATTTGAATCCTCAGAGTGATTTTTCCTCACAATAAATAACTCCTGAATTACAGGGGTGATATATATATCTTATTAACCAAGCGCGAGGGCCGTACTGGGAGAATATCGGCCCGAGGTCTTGACAGTACGGACCGAGCTGCGCTCGGTCCGTACAAAAAAGACCGAGGACCGATATTCTTCCGGTACGGTCCCGAGCAAGCTTGGTTAATAAGAGATTTATTATACGACTGAAGTTCAAAGGGACACAAGTGCGGTATCATTCGGGACCATTCGGGACAGTGCCCGGTCCAATACTGAGAGAATATTGACCGGCAATAGAGCATTTTGATTGGTTGATTTTAGTTATTGGCCCTCTGACTGCCCGAGTCGTGTAATAATGAGAGAATATTGACCGGCAATAGAGCATTTTGATTGATTGATTTTAGTTATTGGCCCTCTGACTGCCCGAGTCGTGTAATAAAGCGAGAATAAAGGAAATGATCATCAAATAACCACCTAAAAAAGCCAAAACAAACTGATGTGAGCATGCAACCCACGGGCAATTAATCCAGGAAATGGAAGGAACATATTAACCAATCAGAGCGCGCGCATGTGTAAAGCTACGTTTTAAATAAAGCTGTTCACTGTAGTTGCTTTTATTACCTAAATATGACGACGAAACATTGTTCAATTCTCAACAATTTATTTTTCAAAATTACAACGAGATGCTGTATAAATGACTCTCGCTTTAACAATAGTTTAAGGGATCATATACTATGGTCTCTAAAAACGTTCATACTAAATTAAAAAAAAAAGTTCGTACAACCACAGAAGTCCATCTTTTTGTTTTGCTTAGCGTTTACCGCATTTTAAATCAATGTAAAATAATATAATATTTTATAGAACGTATTTTCTCATTGTCTAACTTAAAATTTCCTCGTGGCTGGTATATTTATTTACGTAAAGAAAGTGAGCTAACTCCATTGATTATAATACTAAAGAATTCAGCGTTTCAACCTGCAATTGTTTTGGTTCTAAAAAAGAAACTGGGTGGTAAATTTACATAGATATTACACTACGTGTCATTTATACAAGTTTCTAGTCTACTCTAATCGTCAGACATTATTTTCGTGCTTTCATAATGAAATGTGAGCATTTTTGTTATTTCCTCACATAGTACCTTCCACTTTTTTCCATACATTTCTTCATCCACTTTATCAGGATGATAAACGGCGAGAGCTTTAATAAGAAGCCTCTTATATCTTTTGGAAGTTGTCTCCAATTCATCCCAGTCTTCCATTTCTTCATCGCTCGGTTTTTTCCAAGTTGGAGTTTTGGGTGGATAGTTGGTATACAAGAATTTGATTAATTCCACTGCAAGACCTCTGTGAGCTCCGATTTCCGCCAGTTCTTGTGACAATTCCTCCAAGAAACCTGCTCTCGCTTTGCTTTTCTCTTCGTCGTCTCTCTGTCTAGCCTCTTCTTGGTACTTCTTCAGGGTTGTTATGCAGTCTTTGTACCACTGGCAGGCTGTGAACATGCGAGGTTTTAATGATTCTGCCAGCTCGAAACAATGGGTATAGTAAGCTTTGGCTCGCAGGGTGATCTTCAGGACTTTGTCATAGACATAACCCAGGCGACTTTCAGCTCTAGCTTCTTGCTCGATATCCACATTTCTTGAAAGAACGACAGCTTGCTTATACCAGTCAATGACTTCAAAGATCAGAGTCATTTGCAGTTCTTCCTGCTCCAACAAGGCGTTCTGAAGTATTTCATCACCCATCATTCGCGCTTGGATGGATTTAGCGGCACAAGTGTGGAAGAACACATCCTTCTCTAAGACTCCAGCCTCGTTCAACATCTCATAGTTTACCCTGGGGTCATCGCCGCGCTTCGATAACCTTTTAACTTCTTCAATGGGTTGATAACAATCGGTCATCCGAGAGAGGCATTTCTTGTAGTCGCCATTTTGCAATTTGGTCGTACCATCGTGAAAATATAGTGTAGCTAGACTCATGTGCAGGTCGATTGAAGCTTCGTCAACACTGGTAATGAAAGCGAGTTTCTCAAGCTGTGCGATCTTTCGATCAGTGTCGACGAACGCTTCTGAAACATCGATCACCTCTTGTAAACAAACACTGATTGTTTCGAATACTTCGCCTCGCCACTCCGCATCTTTCCATTCTTCACCGATGTCGTAAGCTCTACACAAAGCTTTGATAGCCTCATGTAGATAGAAGATGATCATTTCTGGCTTCTCTTGCGGTTCTTTCTTGGTAAGAACTTCAGCTATCCTCCATGCAGCTTTGCCGATATTCTTCGTAGCGGAACATTCTTCTTCACGGGTCTCAGATTTGTCTTTCGCTTGGTAGTAAAAAGAAAGCGCCCGCTCATAAAGATCCTTTGCTTGCAGTGGTGATTCATTTGCGTTTAAGCTTCGAGCTTGACGGAAAAATTCGTTTCCTTGATTTCTGAAAACGCTGGAAAGAGACATACTGTTTTATCGTTTTCGCCGTTCGTTACTTCCGCTTTCTCGATTTTCTTGTCCGTGACAGAGTAAACTGAAACTGGACCCCAATTACAATGTTGGACCTCGTCCTCCGCGACTTCTAGTTATTTTGCGACTTAGCGTGCTTTCGTAGTCACGCTGTATGACTCAGATAACGAAAACAGCATGTTGATGTAAATGTATTATCATTTCGTCAGAAAAGAAATATGTTCTTGAACAAGGGCGGAAGGGAGCAAACTTGCAATTGGGCGAAAACTCCATATACCGTTCAGTCACCGGCCCCAATTTTTAAAACGTGTATAATCGTCACGCAATAGCCAGGTACGAATTTTGCAATGAAATGTTCGATACGTACTCTTTTGAGTTGTCTGAGAAGGGTTGTGTGGTCGATAACCATGAATCTGAAATATTGGGCGTAAGACAGAAATAGAAAGTGTGCTAGTCATGAGAGCAGGGTGCAGAGGCCAATAGTCCTTTTTACAGTTCCCGGCGCCATATTGAATGTGTAACCGCGCAAACATGATAGCGAGGTTAGTGTTGAGTCGCGTTGCGAGTTCTAGTGAGAGTTTAGTGAAATGTGGTGGTGCGCTGTCCTTTTCATCGAGATATTTCGACAATGAACNCCTCTCATTGAAGGCCTGGGTATGAGGTTGACTGTTGAGTGTCAGCTGAAGATTTGACAGGCTCCTCCCCCCTCCCCACACCAGCAGAACTGAAAATCTAACCTCTTGTTATCATCACAAGTAATCGATTCTGTAAGCGCTAACACTCCAACAAGAATCATCAAACAACTATCTGACTCCAAAGAAACATTAAATAACTTTATCTCAACATCACAAAAG